AAAAATAATTTGTTCTTTATTTATGTAGAGAAAATGAAATTCTTTACTTTTTTTTATCACAAGTTTAGTTAGATTAAAATTTCCTTTCCAATAAATAATTTTAAGATGTTTTTGTTGTTTACATGCGGGAGAGTTAATTGATACAATAGTATATCAAGATTAACTTATAAAAAAAATTAGATTAAGATATTTTCTCCAATCATTTAGAGATATTTATGTTATTTGCATGGAAGAGATTGAATTATTAAGTTTAGTTGATCAAAATTTTAAAGGTTAAATTCTTTCCGAAGTTCTATTTTGGTTTTCATCTCAAATGGATAATTCACTTGTTTTTTGTTGTCAATTAGTGAAAAATTGACGCAATTAAACCTTTGTTGTTAAATTGTTTAGCATTAAAAATATATTGATGTGATTTTTTTAAATGACGCAACAAAGTGAAAAAATTTTAGGTGGGACACTGAAATGAATTTTTGTATTTTAAATATTAAAAAAAATCATAAAATTTAATTAAAATTAAATTGGGATGTTTTCATTGTAGTTACACTGTACAAAATTAGGATTCCTTGATAGGATTCAGGGTTCTATCATACAAATTGTGGATTGATTAACTGAAATTGGGGATTGATTGAAAGAAATTAAGGTTCAGTGAAGAGATTTAAGTGTTACTCATCATCTTTCAAACTTCTTGATTGAAATGTAAGGTGGTTTGAAGTCAATTGCGAGGTAATTGATATAAATTTAAGTGTTAGTCATCATATAGTAGAGTATTCATAAATATATAGAAAACAACATAAAAGGAGATTATAATTTTAAAATATAATAAGTTATTAATATAAATTTTGGTAAAACATATATTTTATATACCATATATTTTAAATTGTAGATGCGTGTATATATTTATATAATGAAATGTTTCTGTAATCTAATAATAATAGCATATAAATACATGGCCCGTTACAATTTACAAAGAACCCATAACCAAGTTTTAAAATGGAGAAACAAAATTAAAAGGTATAATTTCTTAAATATTTTAACGAAATTTTTGTTTAAATTTAAGTGATCACATATTTAAAGAAAGTTCTATCTCTTCCTTCGCCCATGAGTCATATTGCTTTTCATAGTTACAAAGTACAATAATTTTCTGAAAATAGAAAAATAAATAAACCTTGGATTGTTTTACGCTTTAATGGAAATTTTCCAAATGGAGAAAATTACAGGCAGAGAAAAATATACAGTGTACAATGAATTAAGGATACACCATTACATTATATCTGAAAAAAAAAACATACTAAAGCAAGTCACTGGTTTAGTTCCAATTTCTGAGAAAAGCATTCGTAGGAAAAGAGAATTCTCTGCTTTTGATTTGTACTTTTTTTTTCTGCTTTCCTGCTGTCTAAGATCTAAGGATGTATATGTATACTCACAATTTTAAACTGTTTCAAAACTTTGTTACCTTTTTAAAAAATTATTATATTTATGCCGAAATAGAAGGTATATGTTTAACTATAATTAGATAGTATATTATTTATGCTTTCTTTATATGGGAGTAGAAACGTGAAAGACAAAAAAATGAAAACAAAATAGAAAGAAAAGAGTTGAATCTAAGAAATAAAAGGTGGATAATAAAAGAAAAAGTGAACATCTTATAATAAAGTTAATTAATGAGATAAAATTAAATTGATTGGATATTATGATAAATTATAAATATATTTTGAATAAGAATGAGTATAAATTAAAATTAGAGAAAATTATTATTAGTTAATATATAAAATTAAAACAACTAGTAAATCATAATTAAACTTAACTGGTGTGATGAAGGTATTGAATACAGTAATCTTAATAGTTTGGTTAGTTTGAATCTTTATAGGTAAAAGAGTGCGAAGAAGGTTATCCGAAGAGGATTGGACGGGTTTGAAAGTAAAAAAGCAATAAATGGTAAAAAGTGAACAAAAATACTTTTGAGCCAAAATTAAAAGAGTTGACTAGACGTAACATCCCCAAAATATAGTTTTAAACTATATTTAACAGTCCTTACATTCATAATAAAATATAATAGTTTACAAGAAGAATAAAGTTAATTTACAACTATCCTAGAATAACCATAAATTTACAATTTTACAGAAACCTATACTAACACAACTCGTAAGATCAGACTGATCATTCATACAAGCAACGTATTAAGCCGAACGGTCTTTTACTAATACAAAACCAACACTAGACCGAATGGTCTTACCCTAGCAAGAACCATCTTCTCCTGCCATCGCCTGCTCCAGAAAAACTTCAGCTCCTTCTACTCACCCACAGGGTGATCATTGCAAGGACGAGGACGATCGAAAGGACAACCAGACAAGACAGGAAAATAAGGGTAAGGTAGTGTAATTTAATTAACTATGTAAACAGATTACTCACATAAATCTTATATAAATCAATCAGTCCATCATGTAACAAACAATCATACATTTCCACCCATAATCGTACCACAATGCATGCATTGACTGTTTACTTTACTCTGACTGCCCAGAATGTATGAATTATGTAGATACGACGTTCTTGCACTCGTGGAAAGGTAATATGGAAAACCATCAGAATTACCATAGCTGGAAACCCAAGTCGCCACACGATGTTAGCCCTTCATCCCTCATATGTAGCTGGAAACCCAAGTCTACACATGAGTTTAGTTCGATAGCTGGAACCCCAAGCTATACGCAACCAGACCTCCTACTATTATCACCACATGCGCCACCATTCTCTACTTGAGACTCGGTGACCATTAGAATGTCAGGATGAACGACAACTTAGTCTGACCATATTCATACTTTATCATTCAATAACCAATCTTGAGATATTCTTCCCTTTAATACTCTTTTATATCCTTATGATTTCATGTGTATCACAATTTAAATACCATACTTCATTAACAACATATTTCCTCATTCGTCATATCTTTAAATACATATCACACATCACAGTGAAACAATAATCCCACCTTTAAACCAGATCGAACGTGAAAGTTCAACATAACCTATGAACAAGAACGAACAGGAGAGCACTCCCAATATGAGAATATGACCGAATGGTCATTTTGAGAATAAGACTCAAGTAAGAGTCGAAGATTTGAACTTATATCAAGCACTTATGATTTGGAACAAATAATATCGGCTCAGATCGAACACTGTTAACTTAGTACAATTTACGATATTGAGCACTAGTACAGGACCGAGCGCTATCACTAGCCTAACGGCTAGTTCAAGACCGAGCGCTATCACTAGCCTAAGAGCTAGTACAAGACTTAGCACTATTACTAGCCTAACTGCTAGTACAAGACCGAGCGTTATTACTAGCCCAACTGCTAGTACAAGACCGAGCGCTATTACTAGCCTAACGGTTAGTACAATACCGAGCGCTCTTTAAGAAACCTAGTATCAGACTAAGACCGAACATTCTTTAAGAAACCGAGTATCAGTCTAAGACCGAACACTCTTTAACTTAGACTAATCATTATAGGCTTAGGCCGAACACTTAGGGCTCATGCCGAACACTAAGAGCTTCGACCGGGCATCAATACCAACCAAGTACCAATACAAGACCAATCACTACTAAGACCGAGCGGTAGTACAGAATAAGCACTACCGAGACCGAGCGCTACTAAAGCCGAACGGTCATGAACTGGGAGGACTTCAAACACACCAAACCCAATTAATAACCGAACACAGGAGAAGGCCGAACGGCCAAATCAGAGCATGGCCGAGCGGTCAACCCCGAACCCTTATTGAACTACATAATTCTGCAAAATAACTACAGAATAATGATCGACACCAAACATTACCAATTCCACTATACTCGTCCAACCTCTAATCCTCCAAACATATATCAAACACTTCTTTATACTGGACTAAGATTTCTTAAACTTTTCCAACATTGCTAAGAGAGTTTCATCATAGATATGAGAATCAATTCTGCAGAATCATAAACTCAATGACCGAGAATCAGATTTCCTATACAGACCAAACCCAAACAATTTCCCCTTTTCAATACCACACTACCTTTCAATTTCACTCGGCCACTGAACCATAATCATGCAGATACAAAATTATCATAATCACATCTTCAATATTCCACACCAATATCACCGAACATCTAATTCATCCAATTTTATACTCATACAACTTTATCCAGATCAGTTTCATACACATGCATAATTATCAAACAACATTTTCATACATCAAAATCAAGTAATTAAATTATCTAGTTTCCCTTACCTCTTGAACGGACCAAACAATGATTATTCTTTTCCAGACTTTGCTTCCTTCCCAAGATTATACCAAGAACACCTATACTTCACCGAACGGTGAAGAATTACCAACCCAAATTACCAGAAAAATAGTCAGAACTAAGAAGAAGGAGCTGATGAACACATGCAACCAAGAACTTGGTTTGCATGTGCCAGGAAGTAGAATTTCTAAGAAAATGAACTTACTTGACTCTAAACTTGATTTTGATCGGTGTAGATTGAAGATCTTGACTCCCAAATTGCTTAGACAGTGGCTGTTTGAGGAAAAAGTGAAAGGAGCTGGAGGATTTCTAGAGAGAAGGAGGAGAAAAGGTAGAGGTTTGAGTTGTAGAGAGATGTAAATTCTGAGAAATGGGATGAGCTGTGTTTTGGAAAAGCCATATAAAATACTCAAGCTCATCTTTTTGAGACATCTGCTCCTTTCTTCCACATGTCATTTTCAGGGGTTTGACACTAGATGCTTTAAATGAGTTTGACTCTAAGAGGATATTTGAAATTTGCACCAAAATAAAAGGTTATTTTTTCAAGCAGAAGATGCATATCTCCCACCCAAAGGAAAGAACCTTGTGGTCAAAGCGATCATCCCACAACACAAACCATTCTTCAATCGCACAACATGAATAATCAAAGAAGAAGAAAATCTTGTTAACTTTTCTATATATATGATTGTGATTTTGTGGATTTGAGACCGAGTTAATTAAGTTGTTATTTTAACCTTAACTAATAATCATAATTATAATTTCTAAAAAATTATAATAACAAAAGGATTGTATTACACGACCAAACATGTTACACTGCCGTTCCTCCGGAAGAAAATTGCACGAGCAAATAGGAACATGCAAAGGAACTAGCACATAACATCCTCATCTCATCTACCGCTAATTTTTAAACTGAACAATACAAATGAGGTACATAAAATTTATAGCCAAACCACTCCCATGAGCAGAACTACTATCATCATTACAGGGTTTCTGATTCCTAATTCACCATGATGTATATTCCAGGCAGAAGAATCTGAATTTGTGGAATTCATCGATGATAATGTGACGTTAGGGAAGGTGCCATTTTTGCCAAGACTGCACATGTTCACACGTGTTAATTACTAACGTCACAGATAAACATCACAGCTAACGAAATGAACCTAAATGGAAAATGTCTTACCTTCCTGGAAACACACAGGATCCATGACCTGCATTCATTCAAAATGTTCTTAGTTATACTAGAAATCAGCAATAGAACTCTAGAAATTTTGCAGCTAAAATAGATCAAACGAAACTCAAAATTAACGAGGAAACAAAAAGCTAAAACTGGACATATCAAATGAACCATAATCTTAAAGGAATTAGCAATTTACTAGGATTGGTGGTGGAGATTGTAGCCATGTCATTGAAATCACAAGCCTGAGGAGACTTTCCCATCTGATGATAGTAAGTGTCAAAAGCATAATTTGCATGTGCAACTACGTTGTCTGGTTCATAACATAGTTGTCCCTGCAGCAAAGGCGAGCAATCCACCTTGCCAGGTCCACATGCCCAATCTATTCCAGCTTGCAGCATCTTGGGATCGGCACCATCTTTTGCAACACAGTAAGTTTGATTGGTGGTGTCATTTGCCAGCACTCCTCCTGATTCTGTTAATCGTAAAATATAAATAGGTTTCCCATTTGCGTCAAACAAACCCCAGTTCTTCTCAGACAATGAACCTGCCTTTGCATCCTCATTGTAGAGTTCATAGATGTAAGTACTAACACCAATGCCGGGGTGTTTGGGAGTTCCAGTTACGTTAAGCACATGCTTGATCAAATTGCTGTTGTAAGTGTTGGCATTTTCTACTGTGGCATCTGGTTCATTAGAGTCACCTTTTGAGGGCCAACCTGTTTCACTCACCACCACAGGAATGTTAGTGTAGTTGAGAAAAGCCATGGCAAAGTAGGCTGCATCAATCACAGAATCAAACACGTTGGAGTAGTGGAGAAGAGTGTTAGAATCGATGACTTCTTTGTTTGGAGGGAGGGGTTTGAAGAGTGCATAGTCCAACGGAAACACACCATCTGACTTCATATAATCATAGTAAGGGTAGGTGTTGAGCATTAGAAAAGAGCCAGTGGTTTGCAAGAAATCAAACATTGGAACCAAGACTGGATTCAGCGAGCGGTTGAAGAAGGCTTGTGAAGGTGGAAATGAGTCAAGGATCATGGAAGAGGAAAGGGGTGTTGAAACTTTAATTTGGTGATCAAGATTTGACGCCAGAAGGGCCGAATGAATGAACTTAAGGGCACTGACAAGCACTTTTGCCGCATTGGGGAGGGCAGTTAAAACCTCAGAACCAACACAGATAGATGTTATGTTAGTGGCAGGGTAATGAGCCACCACATTACGCGAAACCCACTTAGCAGCTGTGGTGTTTGATTGACCAATTGCTAGGATCTCTTCATTAGGAACAGACACGGCAACTTGTATTCCTGTGTTTGCAAGGGCAATGAGCATGGCTTGGTCAGCATCATACAACCTAACATGTCGAATTTGCTGAGCTTTAAGTAATGCCACTACTTGAGTGGGGTGAGGCATATCTGAGAGATCTCTTCCAATGTTCACCCCAATGAATGGTTCTGCAAGTAACAAACATAAAGATCCATTAAACTATTTTCAGACTAAAGTCATCACTGGCTAACTGGTTAGATAATCAAGACTGGCATAGAAGCATATGCAGGCGGATTCCTCAAAACAATTCAGATTTTGGGGGGAAATATAACGTATGCATTTGAAATAAGAAATGGCTAATTTGCTTTGTTCTGAAGTTTTAAATATTGTGTCACGGGAACTTTTAACAAGATAGTAAATTCAGTAAAAATGAAATAGACTTATTCCAAAATAGCTTAGACATTTAAAAAGTGTCAGAGTATACACTTAACCAAATGTGGAGGAAAAGGACTACAAAGACGTCCTACCACATTTAATATATTGGAATAGCACTGGTGGACTGCATCACCATTCAAGAAGGTCGATTAATAAAAGCACATCAACCCTCTTCCTTTTTCAGTTTTTCTTACACATGCACATTAATTGCTACCTCAACTTCTTTCAGTCAAAAATAAGAAACATGTACAGAAACACTCATGCTTTGAGACTAAGAGGGGGGAAAAGGGGTAAACGAGAACAATGGACTAATCCATCACTCTAAGCAACTCCATACCATGCCTCTCAGGGCTCAGAAACCCTTGCATTTGAACATCAACACCAACTAAATATAACAGAAAATATTTTCAACAGCCAGGCTTAGGATGTTATGCTACTTATGTGAGGAGTGAAAAATGGACAGCAAGTAAGGGTGTGTCTGTGTTAATGTCTTGTTACTCGGCAAAATTTCACTCCCACCAAGCAAACCCACCCCTACATATCAACGAACACTCTTAACAGCCAGGAAGGGTCTAAAATGGGTTTTTTCAATAGCGAATGCTGAAGAGTACTCCATGCAGTTCAAGTAAATGTAGTTCATCAGTGCAAACTGAACAATGCCAACTCATGTTTGTACGAAAGGGACAGAAAGCACAATAACAAATAGTACTATTATACAGGAAACTAAAACTTACTACTCACCTTCATCAGTTGCAGCGACATATACTGCAAGAAGAAGAAGAAGAAGAAGAAGAGGAAAGTGCTTGACCATAGTGTAAATCTCCCTAACAAACTTGGTGAAAACTCACGTATGAACTGCTTGAAAGAGAAAAGGAGCAGGCCAGAAAAATGGAAAGTGAAGTTGGGTAAATGCTGTAAGAGAGAGGGAGAGAGAGTGAAGTGAAGAAGAGAGAGCAAGATCAAGATGTGTCTTGGATTTTCACTGCAACAAAGCACAGGCAAAGGTATCAGAAAAAACAAGACAAGGACCGAGGAATGAGGCAAACAAACTCTCTGCTGCCTTCTTTTTATATTTTAACAATTTATAGAAAATAAGAGAAACTAAGAATATATATACCTTACAATTGACTAACCATAATCCGCATTAATTAATTTTTCTTCCATCTCTTGCTATTCTTCACCTTCAATCTAAGTATGGGACATTTATTTATCCCTAATATATTGTATATAAATTACTTTTCTATTATATATATATACCAGGTTTTTCTGATTCACATACAATAGGTTAAAGGATTGAAAATAAAAAGTACTAGAAAAATAATAGCTTTATCAATTCATTACATCAATATTAAAAAATTATTGATTACATTGAACTGTTTTTATTTTTGCATTCCTTGAGTTGTACAATTAGTAAATTGTTTAATCATTTGAGTATTAGTTTTTAATTTGAGATTTTTTACATTTTTTTATTTATATTAATTTCTTTTATTGGTTTGGTCTGACGGGATCATATTCATTAAAATTTGACCCAAACGTTCGAATTGTTAAATATTAAAATATTTTTTATAATTAATAACAATCGAAGTGTTTTATTAAAATAATAAAAATTTAAATTATTTTATCTAAGCAAAAATATTTATTTAGAAATCAGTTAAATTTAATTGGAATGAGAAATTTTGATGAATCAAAGTTGGCTAGAATTGGAATAAAAAACGTACAAGCAACATGACGAAGGAGCATGAAAGAAAATATTGAAAAAGTAACATAGAAAATATATAAACAAGTTTTACTTATTGAAAAATAATACAAACAAAAGACGAAAGGTGATTTTTTCTATGCTGTTTAATAGTTTGTTAATGAATCTAAAAGAAATTTTGTAGTAAACGGTCATAAAAAAGTTTTAAAAACTTAGTTGGTTTACTGTGTCCTAGTCGTTAAAGTAGGAAGCATAATTTTATTTTTTTATCAGTCTTTGGTTGTAAAGTTAAAGATAGGATTTTTGTTTGTACTTGGTTGGTGTGTTAATGAGATAGGGACTTCAAACCAATCAAAAGTTCGAGGGCTTCTCAAAATCCTAATATTAGTTCAACAATAAAGTAGCACTATTTATTATATTGCACACAATCAATTTTATTTTACTTGTTTATTTACTTTATACAAACACATATTTCAAAAAAAAGATATTTATAATTAAAAAAGAATTTTATATTTTATTTTATAAAAAAAATACTCCTTTCGAAAACACAAAAAGGAAGAGAAAGAGGAAGGTGGGGCCTATCATCCTCGAAGGCATAAAAAGGGCCAGCATCAGAGCCAACGGTCACTTTTGAATGTCTTGTGGTTTTCACACATATTTATACAATTAAAAAACTTAACATAGAATTGTTTAAATCTATAATAAATATTTTTTAAGCAAATAATTTTAAATAATTATTTGTTTAACAAATAAATATGATTTGATCATTAAAAATCAAATTTATTATATTTTTAAAATAAAGAGATTAGACAAACACACGAAGAAGCATAAATCTCTTTACTTTAATTAATAAGAACCTATTTTGTTTTTTTAAGAAAAAACAAGTGCAAATTTGCTTTCTTTTATTATCTTCATTTCGAGGTTTTACAAAATTTTGAGTCTAGCCCACTCATGCTGGCCGAGTTGAGCCAACTCAAATATTTTTATCCACTTTTGAACAGACATAAAGGCCCAGAAGACAAAAAAGCCCACATTTTTTCCGAAAAACACAACTCATAAGGGTGTTGCTCCCTCCACCACCACCCTATACTTCCTCCACCTTCCCACATTATTTTAAATACAATTATATCCTTAAGTTAAAAAGATTTTTACTTTTACCCTATTTTAAATAATTTGAAACCCTAATTTTACTTTTCCAGCACCCACCCATGGAACTCTCTTTCCCTTTTCCCATTTTCATTTCACCACCCCACCTCTCGCACTTCCATTCCTTTTTCTTTCCAATTATTTTTTTGGTTTGAAAGCTTCCATTGCCGCCGTGATGTGAAGGAGCGTCACCGCCGTGGTGTGGAGGAATATCAAGGAACGTCCAGAGCATCAACCAGCGTGAGGAAGTATACATCAACGGAGGTGACATCCTTCAACAGATGTCCCCTAATAAAACAAACTCTAAAATAAAAAACGTGACCTTTAAACGGGAGGTGACATCTTCAACGGATGTCGACATCCGTTTAAGGTAAAACGGATGTCACCTCTGTTTAAAGGTTACGTTTTTTATTTTAGGATTTTATTTCAAGGTTTATTCGAATACGAGGAAGCACTCCACGCACTGCACCACGAGAGGGAGACTGCTTGATAATTCTTTCCACCACCACCAACCTTTGCAACTTGTAGTATCTCACAACGACGAAAGAAAGAGAGAAAGAAATATAATGTTAAAATGAAATAAAAATATTTTATTCATGAGACTATAATAGATTATTAATGAAATAGGTTGTAAATGGATAAAATTAAAAAATAATAACCCTAAAAATAAAATTTTACCGAAGGACAAAATAATAAAGGGAAGTGGAGAAAGAAAGGTATGATGGTGGAGGAAGTAACACTCAACTCATAATTTCCAACGGGTTTTTATGGCCCAAAAGAAATTCAGAAAAATATCAGTATTCGCCGCTGTATTTAAGGACCCTTTGTTTTGTCCAAAAGAAAACGAATTGAGAAATATAAATAAAAGAATATATATACTTTTTAGTGTTTAGGTAGAATATATTTTAATATTTTTGTAATGTTTGATTTTTTAAAAGTTCTCATTTTCCCTTTCTCCTTTTCTACAGTAACTTCCACTCATCACACAGTACAGTTTTGAAGTTAATGATTACCAGCCTATGCTTATTCATTCATCATCAGCGTCATGTCCTCTGGCAATTTCTCCTCCAAAAGTGCGTCTTCTAACAACAGATTTCAACTGTCTTATATATATATATATATATATATATATATATATGTATGACTGTACCATGATCAAGTTCTCACGTCATGTCGAATTCAATTGATAAGAAAAATCGAATGGAAGCAAGCCACAGCACAGAATGAAACATATACATATGAATAAAAAGTGAGGGGTGCAACAAAACTGACCAATAGGTTTTCTGGAAAGCACATGATGTTTGGTGTGGCAACTAATCGAAAATGGTAACATGTGTCGAAAGATTATTGAAGCAAGAAGATAATAGAAAATAGAAATGATAATGTGAGAGACTAAAATGAAAAGGCAAAAGAAAATGTCTGGCCCGAATGGCTATGTATCTCTAGCACCCACATATGTATTTGTTATATTGCTGTGTTGGGTACCCTCCAAAACATCATGTCTGTTCCTCGTATACTCTAATGCTCCCGTGCCCAATATGGGACACCGTGGCACCTTCAGAACATTGTAGAACCCATAATAATGTATGTGGCTGCACAACATAACCTTTTTCCTAAAATTAATGGATGTAACAATCAAATCTCCAGCTATCCATTCATCATGTGCTCATTGGTTAAAGTCTGGGATATACTAATATATACATAATTAATATGGTGCAAAATTTCCTCAAATTAAGAATTTATATTCTCCTTTTCTTCTTGTCTTTTTTACTTTTCGTTCATTAAAAAAGCTTCCCTACAAAACGTTGACCTCTTTTGTCTTCTTTTTGTTCCTGCTGTGCGTTCACAACTGTTATTACCCTACCATTTGGATCATTACAGCTTCTTTTTATCACTATTATTCTGTACAGAATCAAATCCTGTTTAAGCCGAACAAAATTATTACGGTCATTGAGTATTTATTTGAATTATAACAAGTTGTTTGTGTAAAATTTGAATCCAAGATCATTATAATTTCATAGCATTAGGTGATAAGAATGTCTAAAGTTTTTCAACCTTCAACTTTAGAGTCTGGGGTATTGTCCCGTTCACACATGAGTGGTATGGTAGTGGATATGTGGACCTAGTGTAAGTAAGAATTCCATGGCCATGGCAGTTCTATCTAAACTACAAAATAAGGAAAGTCTACGCCAAAGTTTGATTCATAACTTTCCCTTTCTACCCACTGACTTGGAATTCTGGATTCTTTATAAACTACACGGCTAGATAAAATTTTCTCATTATATATTCTTTTCATACAAACTGTTAATGAGAAGAATGAAGATACCAAAATGTGATTCCAACCAAACTAATAGGACAAGCTATTAATTTGTTGCTTGAGACATTCATTAGGAACGTTGAATTTGCAAGCTATATTCTAAACCTAAAAGGAAACGTATGACCCTGTGAATGACCAAAGCATTACGAAATGGTGTGATATTAAATAATATGAAATATACGAGGGTGTTTGTGGTTTATAAAAAGAAAAACGTGGTATGCATGAAAGTGATAAAAGTAAAAAATGAAAAAATAAAAAATAAAAAAATCGAAGCATGTAGGATTATAGTAATATATATATATATATATNCATAAAGGCCCAGAAGACAAAAAAGCCCACATTTTTTCCGAAAAACACAACTCATAAGGGTGTTGCTCCCTCCACCACCACCCTATACTTCCTCCACCTTCCCACATTATTTTAAATACAATTATATCCTTAAGTTAAAAAGATTTTTACTTTTACCCTATTTTAAATAATTTGAAACCCTAATTTTACTTTTCCAGCACCCACCCATGGAACTCTCTTTCCCTTTTCCCATTTTCATTTCACCACCCCACCTCTCGCACTTCCATTCCTTTTTCTTTCCAATTATTTTTTTGGTTTGAAAGCTTCCATTGCCGCCGTGATGTGAAGGAGCGTCACCGCCGTGGTGTGGAGGAATATCAAGGAACGTCCAGAGCATCAACCAGCGTGAGGAAGTATACATCAACGGAGGTGACATCCTTCAACAGATGTCCCCTAATAAAACAAACTCTAAAATAAAAAACGTGACCTTTAAACGGGAGGTGACATCTTCAACGGATGTCGACATCCGTTTAAGGTAAAACGGATGTCACCTCTGTTTAAAGGTTACGTTTTTTATTTTAGGATTTTATTTCAAGGTTTATTCGAATACGAGGAAGCACTCCACGCACTGCACCACGA